AGCAGATTGGCAAAAAGATCAATCAAGGCAAGGTGGATTTCAGGTTAATTCCCACTGTGAGGACTTTACCCCTCTGCGCGGGCAGACCTGCTCTCTCAGCCACCGGGAAGACAGGTTCTCTCGCAGGAGAGCCCATCCTCTCTGAGCGTCAAGGGAAGGTGCTCAAATGCCGACCGTGGCAAACCCAATTTTCAATTCTATGGCAAAGGAGCATAGGACATTAGTCACAAGATGAAAAAAAAAATGAAGCTATTTTGGAGTAACACTCTGCCAATCACAAGGCAAAGTCCCAGTGTCAGAGCAGCGGCAGGAGCCATTTTTCAGCCTGTGAATGTCTTTAAATATGTGAGGATGAAGGGGAGGTGGGTGTGGGAGGAGGGACTGACCATTAGGGCTTCATTTGTCTTGATGGATGACATTACTCAGGAGAGAGTTTCCTTGCAGGAAACGGGAAGCCAGCCTGAAGGCAACACTATATTTGAGGGCACTTTGGTTTACAAAGTTCTCTCATGGTCTTATGTTCCCCAAGATCAAGTGAGAGAGGACTTGCCACCCCCACCATGTGGCTGCAGGACCTAAGTTCCACCCAGTAGGGCCTTCCTGGGGGGGGGGGGCTGGCGGTCAGAGGGAGAAGAATGGGTCAGACAGCCCCAAGCCTTGTCCCAGCAAACCCCGGCCTCTCTGGGAGGAGGGCATCACTTCTGTACAATGGATACGGAGGCGAGGTGTAGGGATGGGGGGAGGGGAGATACAGTCACAGTCCTTGGGATCTGGGGCCAGGGTTGGGGGGGCCCTTGGCTCCCCATCTGTGAAGACAGAGTGATGACAACAATCTCCTTCCTTCACTGGGTCACTAGGAGGACCTAGGAAGGGATAGCTGCTGTGGGTGAAGGGATCGGTTTGGCAAGGTTTAGAAATCTGTGACTTGTCAGTTGGCCTCCTGCTAAGAGAATGACACTGTCGCCTCACCTGGGCCTGCTGGACATTCCTATTATTTCAATAAGCACCTGCTGGGCCCCTGCACTGTGCTGGAGGGGGTGCCCGAGGGGCCATGTGGATTCAGCACCTGCTTGGCCCTGAAAGAACTCACAGCAGGTGAGAGTAAACGCTGTGATCCCACAGGGAAGTATGGAACTTTCCAGGTTCTCTGAAGTATACAGAGGAAGCTGCTCATTCTTTGGGGGGATTGCTGTGGGAACATTTGAGCTGGACTTCAGAAGCTTATTTGCCACAGTGGGAGACCCTTTTAGGCAGAGGGGCAGCCAGGAGAGGGTGGGGGCACAGACCCCCTGCAGCCTTCCTGAAGGCAGCAGACAGATACCAACTGCCCTGGGAGCAAGGGGAAGATGTGGGGCTCCGGGCTACTGCAGCGCCTACTCGAAGGTGTCTAGTCCCCATATGGGTTTTAGGATGGAAGGAACTCAGTGATAAGGGCCTTGCTGAGGGCTGCTTTCAGTCAGCTCTGCCCTCCCAGGCTGACAGGAAAGGAAAGGGATGGAACAGAGGGCTGGTGAAGCCCTGGAGAGAGAGAGGTGATGGGATCTGAGCTAGGGAGAGTGAACAGAGGCCTTGGGGGAAGAATGGGTGATGTTGAGGAGGCTTGTTTCAGGATGGGGGGTCCTGTCTCCAGGGGGCCCTGCCCTGTCCGTGGAGGGGTCTGCAAGGGCCAGGGCTTGCTAACAACTGGGCTGACTACAGCATTTGCTGCACATCCCATTCTAGCCAGGCCTGTGGGGACAGCGTGCCTGCCTGTAACAGCAGAAGAGCTGAGCATGTGTCCCTGGGGGGCTGGATGGAAGACAGCAGGGAAGGTCAGCAGGGCGAGACCAAGGAAGTGGTCCAGGATCCCCCAAAGGGGTGAGCCTGGCACAGCAGAAAAGGGAGGTCCCAGTTCTGAGCATCCGAAGAGGCTCCCCTCCCACTCCACCATGTCATGTTTGGATGAACATCCCCAAACTGGGCTTGGGCTCAGCCTGGCCTTCTTACCCATTCCTCTCACTCTCCCGGAGTGTCCAGCTCTGCGGGAGCTCGGCCAGGGGACTAACGTGAGGGCTGGTGTGGCTGGACTGTGTGTTTGTGCGTATGTGTGTGCAGACGTAGGAGGGAGGGACGGCAGGGCTGGGGGAGAGGCTGGGGTGCATCCTGAGGGCGCTTCTGAGGAGTGGGCTTATCCCACAGCAAAGCGCAGGGGACTGTTGGCTCACATGGTGCTCCCTGGCTGTTTCCTGTCCTCTAGGAGGAAGGGACCATCTGCTGCTGCTGTCACTTGAATTGTACCCTATAAAATGAGTGGCTGATTACCAAAGCGGGTAGAGGCAGTGGGACTTCCTATTAGGGACTTAGGAGTGGGGGACGAGTCTCTCATCACTCACCCAGATAATGGGGCACCCTCTGCTTTCTCTCTGTGCAACAGCTACAGTATTGGGGGCAGGGGAGGCCCAACTTGTCACTACCACCCTCATAAAATGGTAGCCTGATTTCCCTAATAGTCACTGCTGAGGCTCTGTGTCCTGCGGGGGTCTGAGGCTTGTTTGGGGTCATGCCTGCAGCGCAAAGGACTCCTCCTAGGACAGAGGACACTGTATAGCAGTCTGGATGGAGCAGCCAGACTCCAGATGATAGGATGGGGTGGGAGAAGATCTTCCCCACCATGACAGCTAATGTTTCTACATCACCCCAAACAGTATGGCTGGAATTCAACCTCTTGATATATACACATGTTTTAAAGTCCAGCATGCTTGGTGGGTTTTAGACCTGAAAACTGCACTCTATTTTGCCAAGTGAATACTTTCTGAAGACCAACTTGAAGACATGGTGTAAAGTCGGAGCTTTGTTTAAAAGAGTCGTTGCTGCTCCCAGCTGGCGAGTGTCCCCAGACACATTCATTCAGTTGGGTCTTTGGCTGGGAAGTCCATTTGTTCTGCCAAAAGGGACGGGAGGAGAAGCCTGGGGACTTCACACTTTGTTTCTTACTGTGGACCAGTTATGAACACAGATTGCTCTGGCCCATTCCAATAGCCTGTGACAGTGAGCAGGGCCCTGTCAGGGTGGCCCTGCTGGGGGTCTGTTTTTGAAGCTGGCTTCATGATCACCCAGGGACATGGAGTCGACAGACAGGCCGGACCGAGTCCTGACTATGTGACCTCCCAGGTCTTTCTGTCCACATCTGAAAACGAGAACAGTGTTGGGAGACTGCGAGGGGACTGGGGAATTGCAAAATGACACCTCTAAAATGCCCCCTTGTAGGAGGCACTCAAGACATGTCAGGAGGCTCATCCTGCCCTTTCTGCCTTCCAGGCCACCTGTCCTGCCTTCTGCTTGGGAAAATGCAGTCATTACAAGTGGGCTTTGTTAGTGAACAGCCCAGGGGGCTCTGCAGGGCTCAGCTCCAGGGCCCCTCTCAACCAGGGAAGGGCAGTTGCAGGCCAAGGGCAGAGGCTGGCAGCCACACAAGTTTACCCCTTGAGGGACTAGGCTTCTGGCAGGAAGGAGGTTTGGGCAAGGATTAGCAGAGGGACCTGCCCTAAATAGCTGGCCGACAGTTGGAGAAATCCTTCTCTTTGTGTTGGGGGTGGGCTGCGGTGGGGTAAACGAATTCAAGTGATTCCCCTGGACACACTTTTAAACCCTTAGTATGTGCCAAGCTCTGTGTTGGGCTTTGAGTCAACGCTTCCTCAGTCTGTGTGAAGGGGACTTGGATCAAGTGACAGAACAGGAGGTTAGAAGGAGGGAAGAAGCAGACAGACATGAACTTGTCTGAGGCACGATTCTGCCTTCCACAACCCTCCCCCTTGTCCGGCATCGAGAGCATTTCTGAGTCCTACTGTGTGCCAGGCACTGTGTGGGGGCCTCAAAGACTTTCATTCTTGTCACTGGGAGCATGAAGACCAGCTCTTCCTAGGACCCTCAGAATCCTTCAAAGGGGACCCTTGGGGAAAGGGGTCACATTAACCCCCAAATCCAACCATGCTGTGGAGAGCTTGACTTTGGGGGATCCTGCCATCAGTGGGCTCTGCCTTGCCTGTGGCCATTTCCAAACCCAGATTCAGCTGCCTCTGAGGCTTCTACACACAGATGGAGATAAGGAAGAGGTCTCATGGAAGGGAGAGTGTGGGCTCCCCTCTGCCTGACACCAGGTCTAAGCCCTGAGTGTTGGGTATCCTCACTCCTGCTTGCTGCTATTCTCATCCAGGTCCTATTTCCTCCCCTCTGAAGACCTCTCCCCTCACCTGGGGCCCTCAGGGACCCCTGGCAGTGCTTGCTATAGACTGGCTGGCCACAGGGCCCGCACTCTATATATACAGGGGTCCACTGAGACCATCTGGTCAGGAAGGCAGAAGAACATGAGATTCCCGCTTTGTGGTCATAGGCAAATGAAATCAAACAAAATGATCTCTGAGGCTCCTTCCAGCTCTTAGGCTCTGGGAGTCTTTCTTAGTTACTTCTTAATTAATGAGTTCTTACTTAAAACAAACCAAACATTGCAGCAACAGGCAAGCTAATGACATAAGTGAGGCTAGTCTGTTAACTACATCCATGTAGCACATGATTGGGATAGAGGTTCTTGGACACCTGTGTGGCATTTCCACTCCCTTCTCACAGAAAGGGTAAGAGGAAATAGACATGATGCACTCGGGGGCTCTAACCAGTAGGTGCTCGGCTTCCTCTGCACAGTCCCAGCTTGGCGTTGCTCACACTCCATGCCCCAAACACAGCAGATTTGCCCCAGTTGGTGCTTCCTGCCCAGAATAGAAGGTGCCATCTGTCACGGTTTAGATGTCACATGTCCACTGATGGCTCCAAAACAGGGTGGATCACCCAGAGGCGCTGGGAGGAGGGCAGGTGAGAACCAGGAGGCCTGGCCAGGCACAGCTCAGCAGAGAACATGGAGTCAGTTAACAGGAGTCTCAGCCGGAGTCTCAGCAGCCAGCTGCTCCCCGTATACCCAGTGCTCTCTCCAGCCCCGAAGGTGCTCTCCACTTTTAGGAGGACACAGTGGCTCTCAGGACAGAGTATGTCTGGGATAGGACAGCTTACTGGTGTAGTTTGTGCGGGGTGCAGGGTTGCTCCCTGTCAGCTGAGTCAAGGTAGAATGCCCCGGGGCGGTGCTGCTGTGGGCGGAATGGCCCCCTGAGTGGCCAGCCCGGCCACACACCAGGCGTTTCTCATCGAGCAGAGACAGGTGGTATTCGCACAGGTCGATCAGCGAGGCCACCTGCTCGTGCAGTGGCATCATCTTGAACTTCCTCTGAGCCAGGAAAAAGAAAGCCTCCACGAACGCCTGCAGACACATCCCTGTGAACAAGGAGACCAGTGTGACAGATGTGCATGAGTGGCCCTGCGTGCCGCCCTGGGGAGCCCCGACCCCAGCCACCAGGCCGCTAGCAAGAACCAGCCTCACTCCTCCCCTCCATCTCCATCTGGAAACTCCTATCAGGACTCATTCACACAGCACCTGCCACGCCCAGGCATTGCCGGGCAGGCCTTTTACAGCCATGTGCAGGTTCAGCCCTCAAACCTCCCCCTGGAGCAATTCAACTAACCCTTCTCTGTTCCAGAGAAGTGGAACAGAAAGTGGTGGGGGCATTTAAACACAGCCCAAAGCCTTACCCCTCAGCACCATGATGAAATGTCCCCATTAAAATCCAGCTCCCCAACTTTTACAAGGAGGGAACAAAGTCATTAAGGTAAACCCAATCTCAGTGAGGTTTTTATCATAATAGAGGTGTTGGTCACGTGGATGTGTGCCTTTGTCAGAGCTCAGGTTAGACTTTAGGGTTCATGCATTTTGCTGAATGTAAAGTTTACCTTGAAAAATAAAATAAACCCAATCCCTTCTCTTTGGTCAAAATTCTCTTCTGGTTCATATGCCTAGCAGTCCACACGATGCCCCTGGAATTCCCCATTCTGCTCTGCCTCCTAAGCTCCTGCTCATCTTTGGGATCTGAGCTCAGAATCCCGAGTTCAGTAAAACCCTCCCTGATCCCCAGATTAGAGCAGCCCCGGGTGTGGGCTTCTTGCACTTTCTTTGCAGAGCCTGCTGCAGCTGGCTCAGTGGCTGTGTGGTCTCTGTAGGCCTTGCTGGACTGGCAGGTCCTGCTCCTCACAGCCCACGGGGCCAGGTATCCAGCAGGTGCTCAGTGCAGACATGGTTAACACGTGAGTGAGTGAATGAATGAACGAATGGGTTGATGCTAGCTCCTTTATAGGCTTTGCCATTAATCCTAGCACTACTGTTATGAGGTCAATATTATTATGTCCCACCTTACAGGTAAGGAGACTGACACTCAGAGAGATTGAGGAACTTCCCTAAGGCCACACAACCAGAGAATAATAGCCTGGAAATTCAAACTCTGACTACCAAGTATTTTTTTTTTTTTGAGACAGAGCCTCAAGCTGTCCCCCTGGGTAGAGTGCTGTGGCATTACAGCTCACAGCAACCTCCAACTCCTGGGCTCAAGCGAGTCTCCTGCCTCCGCCTCCCAAGTAGCTGGGACCACAGGCGCCCGCCACAACACCCGGCTATTTTTTTTTTTTTTTTTTGGTTGCAGCCATCATTGTTGTTTTGGCGGGTCTGGGCTGGGGATTCGAACCCACCACCTTAGGTGTACATGGCTGGCGCCTTAGCCGGTTGAGCTATAGGCGCCGAGCCAGACTACCAAGTATTTTAACTAAGTTGTGCCGCCTGAAATGTTCTGAGTCTTCCCGATGTCCAAGTGAAAATGAACACTGGAATATAAACCTCTGGGACTCCCTGGGATCCTTGGGGAAGGTGACACTAAGACCAGACTAAAGGCCACATGGCATTTTATTATATTTATTTATTTATTAAGAGACAGGGTCTCGCTGTGTTGCCCAGTGTGGAGTGTAGTGGCTATTCCCAGGTGCAATCCCACTACTGATCAGCACAGGAGTTTTGACCTGCTCTCTTTCCGACCTGGGCTGGTTCACCCTTCAGGCAACCTGGTGGCCCCCTACTCCCTGGAGGTCTCCATATTGATGCCAAACTTAGTGCGGACACCTAATCAGCATAGCGTACTACAGCCCAGAACTCCTGGACTCAATCGATCCTCCTGTCTCAGCCTCCCGAGTAGCTGGAACTATAGGCACGTGCCACCATGTCTGGCATTTTAGATGGGGTTGGCTCCGACTCTGCTAATCCACACCTCCCCTTCACCTGCTCCTGGAAACACAGACAGAAGCCTGGCTTAAGTGTGCAGACACAGGGTTATGTATAGACCCTGGGGTCCTAAAGCTCTATTTGCCTGGGGAACTTGAGCCGAGCAAAGAAGTTGTTTTGTGTTTCCTTCCAAGTCCATCAAAGCTTTCTAGGTCAGCGTCTCTTGACTCAAGATGTCCTGTAAGTCCCCTGTTCTGTTTAATCCTGACAGGAGGAGTTGATAAGGAGCCAGTAACCCTGGTACAAAACATTTTTATGTAAACAGAGGCCCTGTGTGGACAAAGACCCAGGGAAGTGGGGGCTGCAGTCTAACTTAGAAGACAGACGTTTTCTAATCATGGAGCCTGGGCCAGGGCTGTTAGGGTACATGTGTGTGCACGTGTGTGCTCATCGGGTGTGTGTGTGTGTGTGTCTGTGTGTGGTGGTGGTTGGGTGGGAGGCAGATACACAGAGCAGAACAGGCCAGAGAAGCCCAGTCCCAAACCGTGTGGTCTACAGACTGCTCCGAGTGTGGTCTGCTGGTGGTGCCAAGCCCTGGATCTGCATCCCTGGTACCTGACAAGATAAGGAGCTTGGGCCAGAATGTAAATCACCCTCCCCATCAATCACGTTGTTTAGTTCTGTTGACACTGCTCTGCAGCAAGTCTTTCTCTATAAAGGAAGTGGCCTGCATGTTGTTTACATTCTGGCTCAAGCCTCTCGTCCAGAACTGTAATAAACAGTTTGTGAGCTGCAACTTTGAGTAGTGCTGAGCTCCACAGCCCTCCCCGCCATGCTCTGGTGCTCTGCTCGCCAGTTACCAGCAGCTTGTTAAAACTCGGGTTCTGGGGTGGGGCCCACGACACTGCACTTCTAACATGCTTCCTGCTGGTGCTGATGCCACACTTGGAGAAGCAAGGATCTCGCAATTCACCGCACCTTTTTACTCAACAAATATCCATTTTGTTCCCCTAGTGGAAGGCAGAATGTGATTACAGACAAGAGAGCACAGAAAAAATACAATGAGGACTATTTGGGGGAGAAAAAGCATGGCGAAATCATCTGGAGGAAGACGTCTAAAATGAGACGCAGGACTTAAGTGTGTTATGCCTGCATTTCTTTTTGCTTGCCTGCGTTTTCTGGTTTTCCATAGTAAACATGTATTTACATTTAAGTTTAAAAATATGCAATGGGAAATTCTAGCGCATGGACAGAGGTGATGTGGGCCTGCAGCTTTTAATTTTGGACCTTCACTATTATCTGAATTTGAGGCCAGGTACATGTATTACTTTGGAAAAAAGCAAACTTTCTGTATATATGTTCTACTTTGATAAAATATTTAAATATATCTGTGTGTATATATATATATACACACACACATGTAAAGGGAAAAGAGAAGAGGAAGAGAAAGGGAGTTCACTATCCCAGGCACTCTGATCCTCTCTGTGACTTTCATTGTGCAGAAGAGAAAACTGAGGCCCAGAGAGATAAAACAATTTGCCCTAAAAGCCGGCACAGTGGCTCACACCTGTAATCCCAGCACTTGGGAGGCTGAGGTAGGTGGATGGCCAGGGCACCCTCAAACTGCATCCCTTACTTTAAGAAAAAAAATGAAGCAAAAAGAAAAAAATCCCAAACCCAAACACTTCTCTGGCCAGGGGTGAGGCAGAGAGCCCCATACACTTTGTTAGACCTGCTGAGCGAACCCGAGCGAGTCTGGGCTGGGAAGAGGGGTGCCCCGCACTGAACATGGTGAGCACATGGGCTGTTCTAAGGGGCTGCCCAGGTACGTTTGACAAGAGACTTGTTTTGACCCTATTTCATCAATGTGGCCCAGGAAGTGGTGGCCTGACCCAGGTCAATATTCACTGAGCTTCAGAAAACTTAATCATTTTAAGGCTTTGCAGTGTTGGGAGGAGGAGGAGAATGGGAGGGAGCCAGCATGCTCAAGATTGTCCAAGCTGTGCTCCGGGCTCAGGGCTGCTGCCCCCCATCCCCACTACCCCCATGAGACAAGCTCAGGTTCTGGCAGCTCTCCCTGGCTATAGGTCTTCAGCCTTTTCTGCAGAACCACTTTTCTCCCTCCTTACTGTTATTCATTATAAAATATAATGAGAATATTAGCAGAAAGTATGAAAAAATATATACATAAATAAATAAGGCTGGATGCAGTGGCTCATGCCTGTAATCCTAGCACTCTGAGAGGCCAAGGTGGGAGGATCTCCTTAGCTCAGGAGTTCAAGACCAACCTGAGCAAGAGCAAGACCCCATCTCTACTAAAAATAGAAAAACTAGTCAAGTTTTGTAGTGGGCACTTATAATCCCAGCTACGTGGGAGACTGAGGGAAGAAAATTGCTTGAGCCTGAGAGTTTGAGGTTGCTGTGAGCTGTGATGCCACTGCACTCTACCTAGGACAATAGAGTGAGACCCTGTCTCAAAAAAAAAAAAAAGAAAACGTGGTAAAGTTCATGATCTCCCTCTAGCCCTCATGTGTCCTCACAGACTGACCTTCTGGCCCACTCTGTCCACAGGAAGATACCTTGTCACTTAGTCATGATAACACACACAAAACTTTATTTTGCTTAAAGTTACATCAAAGATTTTTGCACGTGGCCATGCAGCTTCTATAACTCCTGTTTTAATGGTTGCATAACAGTTCATCAAATTTTTCCTTCTACTTTGTTCCACCCACCCCTCCCTGCTGAACACTAAGACTGTTTACATTTGTTCGTTATTATTGAGATAATAAACCCTTGGTTTATTATTGTCTTTATTACTGATTTATTTATTCCCTTACAATAAAATCCTCGGAATCTAGGTTGTGTTTTAATGTGAGGGAGGTTTGGTAATTAAGTTCATATTAAAAATATTTAAGCCTGTGGAGTACCCAATGGACAGAGCATTTGAGAGAGGGCAAGTGACATTCATCAGTAAGAGAGGAGACATCAAGTCCCATTGAGGCCTCAGGAGGCTGTTGGTCGCCAATTAAACAAGCAAAAGTACAAAGTAGTGATGACAGTGTTGTGGACTTTTGAAAAGCAATTTGGTAAAAGTTTTACGACCCATTCAAGTGTTTATATCATTGAACGGAGTGATCACAATCCTAGGAATTTACTCTTAACAAAATATTCCTTC